AAGTCGTTACCCTGTGGGGAGGGGGGTTCGTCCATGCCCGTGTGAGCGGGGCGACCTCGTCTGAGCCGAGCCCCCCTGCCCAGCATCCCTATGCTGCCCCCCCCCCCTGCTGACGGACAGATGTCTGCTGCTCTAACTGCTCACTAACCCTCCAGCTCTCTAACCCTGGGGAAAACGCAGGCGCTGTCCTTTCTCTCCTGGCACAGCTTGACCGGGTTCGAGATCTCTGGCCCCCCCGTGTGTCCGGTCACCTCCTCCTCCCCGCTGCACAATTTCAGGGGCATCCCCCCCCATGTGGGTCCGCCAGGCATCTAAAGCGGGGCCCCCCCCGCCCTGATCCTGGAGGGGGTGCTGTGTCTTCAGGATTTCTGAGCTCTCCGACGCCCCTCCTCGATAAGGAGCCGATACAGGGGTTTAAGGGTGAAACTGCCGGGGCCCGTCCCTGCAGGACCTGGCCTGGGCGCCCCCGCTGCAGACGCAGCGCCCAGGCCAGGAACGAGGATTTGGCGTTTTTCCCAACCCCTTCCCAGGCCCCCCCCCCCCGCGGCACGCTGGTGTGGCAGTAGTCATCCCATCTGCGTGTGCTTCCTCATCCATGTGCACCATTGCATCGTCCATCAAGGCCCAGCGGGAGCAGGGGAGGGCTTGGTCCCGGTCCAACACGGTTGGCATGGGGGTGGCGGCGGCGGTGCTGCAGGGAAGCCCGCCTGGCGTTTCCGCGCCGCGCGCCCGTTAGAAACACCGCGAGGCTCAGCCTGCCCCCTTGACTGGCCAGATGTCCCGGGCCCGTCCTCGGCTTGCCCTGCTCTCCGCGTGCGGAGGGGCTGCTGCCGATCCGGGCTCACGAGCTCTTCCTCCTTGACCGCAGCACCGCCCCGCAGCGGGTCCCGGCCGCGTCCCCCTCCGCGCACAACATCAGCAGCGCCGCGGTGACGGACCGCACCAACTTCCCGCGGGGCGTGGCCAGCCGCAGCACCTTCCACGCCGGGCAGCAGCGGGCCACCCGGGACCAGCACGCCGGCGCCTACAACGGGCCGCCCGCCTCGCCCTCGCTCTCCCACGGCAACAGCCAGGCGCGCCGCGGCGGCGCCAGCGGCATCTTCAGCAAGTTCACCTCCAAGTTCGTGCGCAGGTGAGGAGGAGGGGCGGGGGGGCTTCCCAGGCCAGCGCGGCGGGATTGCAGGGATTGGGATTTTTCGGGGGGGGGGGACGGACTCCCTTTCCCCTGCAGTTTGATCCGCTCCGGGTCTTACTCTTGAAATCCTCTGCAGCAGAGGGGAGGGGGAGCAGGTGGAGTCGGGGTGTCAGGACGCCACGATGGGGTTCCTGCAAGCCAGGGTGTCTGGGAGGGCCCCCCCCCTCTCTTCAAGGAATAAGAAAGGACCAGCCTGTGGGTCGGTTTTGCTCCCCCGGGGAGACCGTTCCGGCTCCAGTTCCGAACCGCTGCGGGATCCACTCCAGGTTTTACCTCCTCGCGTCGCTCTCACTCCGAGGATCGGGCTTCAAGCTCGCTGCCGTGGTCAAGCCGGCGTTCAGGGGGCGGCTTCTCTGCTTTATGGGGAGCACTTTTCGTGCACGAGGGCCTCCTGCAGCTGGGAAAACCTGAACTGGATTGTACTGGGAGTTATCCGTCTGCTTCCCGGCCTCGGGAGCCCAAGAGGAGAGGCGGAGACGGTCGTCTCCCATCTTTTTCCTTTCCCGTCCTTAAGGATCAGAAGTGCTGGGGGTGTGGGGGGGGTGTCTGTCTGTCACTGGGGACGATCTCGTCTGTGTGTTTCCGGGGGTGACCTCTGACCCCACTCTCCCCCCCCCCGCGGGGCTGGTGGAGGAGTGGTGTGGGGGTCCCGTTGTGAGAGGTGGCGGGTGTTGTCTTTTTATCTCTGTTTACTTCTCTCCCGGCCCGCCCTTTCCCAGTCACGGCTTTTCTGAGCGCTTCGGGCGGGCGGGGGCTGTGAAATCGCACGGCGCCCCGCCCGGTGTTCGACACGTTTCTACTGCTGTATCTCCTGGGAAAACCGGACCTCAAGGTGAAGCAGCAGCAAGGAACGGAGTCCCGAGACTTCCGAGGGCCCTGTGGCTCTGCTGTCGCTGTTCCCGCTTGGCACAGCGTCCCAGACGCATCTCTGCCCCGGTGCAGGAAGTCTTTCCGGGGGGGAGCGTTTTGGCGTTGCGCGAGCAGGAACAACGACACAAGAACGCGAGGGACTGGATTTGCCGGAACTGTCGAGTAAGACGACAATAAGGTGCATGTCGGGATCACTCATTTCAGGGAAGGAAATGGCTCCCGACGTCCAGTAGTTCGATCCAGTTCAGGTCTGTGCAGCAGCAAGGCAGAGGCTAAGACTTACACGCTGCAGTCTTAATGCTTATACTTCCGCCATCTTGGCAGAGAAGAAAATACTTCCGTGCAAGCTTGTGAAACATCGAGATTAAAGTGGCAGGCTTGCTGTCGCCTCACTTTGGCAACGCTCCAGCCTGGAATGTGAAGCCTGGAGTGGATCAGACCGCTGTGCGGCAGGAGGCGGATTCCCACCACCCTGCGTGTGCCGCACTTGGTCTGGGAGGGGGTGAAAAATTGAGTTTTTATATCCCCTGCTCTCAAGGCGGCTCTGTGTCTGAGACTTGGGTCGCTTAAGGGCTTGTGAGTTTCCGTTTAGCGTTTTAATAGGGGTAAGAACGCAGCCCAGCGCAGGTCTTCGATAGTGCCCTGCACAGTGGTGGGGTAAGACAACAGGGAGCCCCAGGACAGACACACGGGAAGGCTGGCCTCTCAGGAAGGACGTTAAGGAGTCTGGACCTGTGGCCGGCGTTCCTGGGGCGGAGGGGAAGGGAGTTTTCCTGACTCCTAGGGGAGAGCGGTGGTGCCCGTGCAGGGCTGTCTGTCTGTCTGTCTGTCAGGTGGACCGGAGCTTGCAGGGGTGTGATTCCAGTGTGGGGGCATGGTTCCGGTTCTGGCAGGGGGCCCAGTGTGACTGCAGTCTCCCCAGGCCAGCGGGACGGTTCTGGTGCTGGCAGCAGGTCCTGTAAGCGGGTCCAGTGTGACTGCAGTCTCCCCAGGCCAGCAGGACGGTTCTGGTACTGGCAGCGGGTCCTGTAAGCGGGCCCAGTGTGACTGCAGTCTCCCCGGGCCAGCGGGACGGTTCTGGTGCTGTCAGCGGGCCCAGTGTGACTGCAGTCTCCCC